GGCTCAAGTGATGGAGCCTGCAGCAGGGCCACAACATGAACTCGATTCTTCGGTGTCCCTCTCTGCTGCCTTCCCCACACAATCATCCCGTTCTCCTCCCTTTACGCTACGTCTACCTCCTCCACTTCCACAGTTGTTCTCGCCTACTGAGCACTCCCTATCTACCCCCTCCCCGATCTTCCCTCCCTACTGGTCCCTCTGCCTCGTCCTCCTTTTATTTATTGTGTGTGTTCTCGTGTGCCTTCCTCCTGGGGAGACGGAGCCCAGTCACAGACTAGGTGCCGTACGAACACACGCCAAAAGACGGTCCCTGTCCAAAGGGCTTCCAATCTAACTCTCCGCCAAGAGAGAACAGGCGGACACAGATAGACCAACAGGGAGTTCAAGGAAACAGTATTGGTCACTATCCGGATAGTCTGGGGTGTCCCATGCTGCCTCTACACCTGCAACAGTCTCCCACTTTAAACTTCCTACTTCGACTGTAAACTTTTTGGGAGTGGGGGGGAGGGGCAAGAACAGGCTGTTTGTCCTGTGTTTGTACAGCTCCTAACACCATGGGGTCCTGGACTATAATGGTGTACTGTGTAAGGACATGATCCAGAGACTTTACATGAATGGATTCTCCACAGACGAGGGAGATTGGACCAAGTGGGACTCAGCCAATTTCTTCTACCTGCAACTCCTATGAGCTAAGCACATCACAGTATGTGAAGGACTGTCCCAAAATGCTCAGCAAAGGAATAATTCATTCGTGTTCTTGATGCAGAGAAGAACACTTCAGGGGTGTGTGGACGCTGTTGAGTCTGAACTTTTGATGAGCTTAAACTTAACCCAGACTTGATGTCTCTGTCTGAACTTTTAATCAAAGCTCTGACCTGCGAACTACTCATGACACCCCCCTCCCCTTAAGTAGCCATCTCCCCTTATCTCTTTCTGAATGTACATTTTAACCTGTAGAATCTTGATTGATTATACATGACCATTTAGATCTGTTAATTGCCTTGTTTTCTTCTGAGCATAAATCTTTATGCTCCCCCCCAATAAACT